CTTTAGTGGGTGTCGTGGTTGGTGGGCACACGGTTTCTGGAAGTCGACGATAGCAGGAAGAGTAAATGGTGGGGTTAAATGAAATGTTAGGGGAAAACGTTATCTTGTCATGTGATATCTTGGAATGCTGTTGCCGGAGTCTGTATGTCTTTGTGACATTTGGCACCTGATTCCAGGTGCTATCAAATGCGTAAATTTCCTTCTTCTTAAGTTGTTCGTGGTACTCTCTTAGGTGCTGTTGTGTGTGCCTGGGGTTGGGGGTGGGGTTGGGTGTGGGGGGGTGTGGGGGGGTTGTGTGGTGGGTGGGGTGTTGGGGGGTCGGGTGTGGGAGGGGGGGGGGAGGTGGGTTGGGGTGGGGGGTGTTGGGTGGGAGGTGGGGGTTGGGTGTTGGGTGTGTGGTGGGTGGGTGGTGATGGAGGGGGGCGAGCGACCAGTGGGGGAGGGGGGCAGGGTGTGTGAGGCGAGGTGGGGGGTTTGTGTGGGTGGGTTGGGGGGGTGGGGGTGGGGGGGGGTGTGGGGGGGGGGGGGGGGTTGGGTGGGTGGGGGGTGTTGGGGAGGGGGTCACACACACATCCGGGGGTGTGGGGGGGGGGGGGGGGTGGGGGGGTGTGGGGGGGGGGTGGGGGTGTGGGGGGGGGAGTGGGTGGGTGTGGTGTGGGGGGTGGGGGTGGGTGGGGGGGGTGGTGTTGGGGGTGGGGGGTTGTGGGGGGGTGGTGGGTGTTGGGGGGTGGGGGGTGGGGTGTGGGCGCGGCACCGGGGCGTGACACACAGCCCCGGGCAACACCCAACATGCGGTGTGGGCACGACATACAGTACACATACAGGTACATACATACATATACATACATACATTACATACTACCATACAGGTACATACAAGACATACATGACATACAGTAACCATCATACATACAGGTGACATGACATACCTAATTACGATAATACGTATACATACATGACAGTGCTACAGTACATACATACAATTCCAAGTACATACTACATACAGTACATACATGACATACATAATACATATCATACAATAATCATTACATAACATTACTGTACATACATACATACCAGTACATACATAAGCATACATACATTACATACATACATCACATACACTACATACCATACAAACATGACATACGATACATACACAGATGTACAGTACAGAGCAATACAGATACTACATACAGTACATTACATACTACATACATACCATACATAATACATACATCAAATACACTACGCACTACAGAGACATTACATTAGTTTAATCTAAGCTTGAACTTCTATGATGTGTGCAATATCTAGACAAGCACGTTTCCTAATATCAGCACACACAATCCACCAGGCGCGTGTATAAACAACTCAAC